CTGTGTGCAGGAGCGTGGGTGGGGCTGAGGACAAGGGGCTGGCGGAAAAGGCTTCACACACACGGGGTCCAAGTCTTCGTTCTATAGCCCAGACTGGCTTGGGGGACAGGGACTGAGGCACTGGAGCTCAGTCCTCCTCCATGGGAGTGAGGTCACGCACACCAGCAGTCTAGACAGGACGTTCCGTCTGCAAGGGAGGACAGCCGCATCCCCTGAGGCCACGGGCAGGGCTGCACCCCGAGAGAGCTCAGGAGGCCCCCAGGACCCGTGCGGCCACTGGAGAAGCCTGCTCTCCCATGCTCTGAAACAGGCGAAAGAGCTCCCCGAGCCGGACGCCACCTCCAGCCGCGTGTGGATCCTCACCAGCACCCTGACCACCAGCAAAGTGGTCATCATCGATGCCAACCAGCCAGGCACCGTGGTGGACCAGTTCACCGTCTGCAATGCCCACGTCCTGTGCATCTCCAGCATTCCAGGTGAGGGCCAGCAGCGCGGGGTCTGCGCCGCTCTGCAGACAGCTGGGATCGTAGGCCCGCTGAGCCACACCAGCCTTGCTTGGGACATGCTGTGAACGCACGGAAGCCCATGGGGGCGTCCAGAGGGAAGCAAACTGACAGTCTCGCCCTTTAGTCCTGTGAACAACCAGGAGAAGACCCCAAGGTGATGCTCACTTGCCTGCCTGGAAGGAGGTGGGCCACAGGACAGATTGAAATATCAGTCAAGCACTGAGCACGGACCTGCTGGTGGGCCCAGTTCCCGCTACCCAGCTGCAGCGGGGAGAGTGGGGGCCGGTGGAGGCTTGGCTTTGCCTCTCAGCAGTATTCCTCATGCCAGTATTTGGGGGTGGCTAGGGCCCTGCCGGGGGCAAGCTGCTCAGAGTTCTTAACTTTCTGACACGTGATCAGAGTTGTTTGCTCCCAGAGACCAGAGTCTCACTCCTCCATGCCTCTTGATGGCTCTCCAGGCCTGCAGGCCGTGGTTGTGAGCAGGTGCCCACATGCTGAGGCCAAGCTGGCCTGAGAGCCTGGGGCCCACTGTGCTCTCTGTATCAGCAGGCGGCTCCCACCTCCTTCCCCAGCAGCCCCATCGGGACATGAGACCTGGGTGTGGTCTGGTAGAAGGGGCTCCTCGGCATGGGGTGATGGGGCCGTGACTCTCCCCCCAGCGGCCAGTGACAGTGACTACCCTCCGGGGGAGATCTTCCTGGACAGTGACGTGAACCCCGAGGATTCCGGTGCCGACGGCGTGCTGGCGGGCATCACCCTGGTGGGCTGCGCCACCCGTTGCAACGTGCCCCGCAGCAACTGCTCCTCCCGAGGGGATACCCCAGTGCTGGACAAGGGCCAGGGTGAGCTGGGCCTGCGCCTGGGCGGCCGCCTTCCCTAAACCCCTTTGTTCCTCCCCACCACCCGGCCAAGCCCACCCTTCCCTTCTGCAGGGGAGGTGGCTACTGTCTCCAATGGGAAGGTCAACCCATCTCAGTCCACGGAGGAGGCCACAGAAGCCACGGAGGTGCCAGACTCTGGGCCCAGCGAGGCAGAAGCAGCCGCAGTGCGGCCTGGGCCCCTCACAGAGCATGTCTTCACCGACCTGGCCCCTGCCCCGGCCCCCAGTGCCCAGCCTGGCAGGTGGGCTCTCTCAGGACGGGGCAGATGGAGGGGAGGGGAGACTGGCCGAGGTGGGCGGGGACAGGCTCCCACGGGCCACCCTGGAGCAACCATCCTTCTTGCAGTGAGAACGGGCCGGAGGCCGACACAGGTGGGGTGCAGCCCGAGCCAGAGCCCAGCGCAGACCCTGCAGGGACCAGCAATAGCGCTGCCCCCACCATGTGGCTGGGAGCCCAGAACGGCTGGTAGGTGGGGCCCCGGGTCAGGGGTTGGGGAGGGTCTCCTGGGCGAGCACCCCTGCCCACCATGGCCTCCTCCCACAGGCTCTATGTGCACTCAGCCGTGGCCAACTGGAAGAAGTGTCTGCACTCCATCAAGCTAAAGGACTCTGTGCTGAGCCTGGTGTACGTGACCCCAGCTGAGGGTGGGGCGTCGGGAGGGAGGGGCCGGCCACCAGCCTAAGCCCGCTCGCTCACCACCATCCCATTCCAGGCACGTGAAAGGGCGAGTGCTGGTGGCCCTGGCCGACGGGACTCTGGCCATCTTCCACCGAGGTGAAGGTGAGGTCCAGGGGCTCTGGGCGGGTGAGTGGCCACCCCCACTGAGGGCAGAGGTGGGCCCTGGCCAGGCCTGAGCAGGTGTCTGGGGCTCTCTGCAGATGGCCAGTGGGACCTGAGCAACTATCACCTGATGGACCTGGGCCACCCCCACCACTCCATCCGCTGCATGGCCGTCGTCTGCGACCGCGTCTGGTGTGGCTACAAAAACAAGGTGCACGTCATCCAGCCCAAGACGATGCAGATTGAGGTGAGTGCTGGTAGCAGGAGGGCCTCGTGGGAGGGCAAGTGGCTCCTGCTGGTGGACGGCGCTCCCAGCGTGCCTTCTAATGGGCCCGGGGGGCATTGTGTGGTCAAGGGAGGCGACTGCATCACAGCTGGCAAAGGGCAGCTGGGCTGTGAGCGCCAGTCCGTCTGGGTTGTACCTGCTGCTTTACTCAGCAGCAAGTCAGGCCAAGACCCGCAGGGGCCCCGCACGCCTCCCTGGGACGGGGTCGTGACTACAGCTCCTCGCAGGAGCCTGCACCCTAAGGGGCAAAGCAGGTACTAGACTGAAGGCTGCAGGGAGCTGCATGGGCGTCTCCGTGACCAGCGGCCGTGGCGGGTTCAGAGCCCCCACCCCCGCTGATGCACTGCCACGACCCCACAGAAGTCATTTGACGCCCACCCACGGCGGGAGAGCCAAGTGCGGCAGCTGGCGTGGATCGGTGATGGGGTGTGGGTGTCCATCCGCTTGGATTCCACATTGCGGCTCTACCACGCCCATACCCACCAGCACCTGCAGGACGTGGACATCGAGCCCTATGTCAGCAAGATGCTGGGTGAGGGGCTGCGCCGGGCTCGGGCGTCAGGGCAGGGAGGGCCCCCCGCACCAGCCGTGCCGACTGCCTCGCCCTCCTCACCCCAGGCACAGGCAAGCTGGGCTTCTCCTTCGTGCGGATCACAGCCCTGCTCATCGCGGGCAACCGCCTCTGGGTGGGCACCGGCAATGGAGTGGTCATCTCTATCCCGCTGACCGAGAGTGAGTGACCCCCCCGCCCCGACATCTGCACAGGTGGTGGTGACTGCTGCTGAAGGACAAGAGTCAGGTGGGGTGGGGGGGCACGATCAGCCAGGCCTTGCTCCGGGGGACGGGGATGCTGCCCGCCCTTCCCGTGACTTGTCTCCTCTCCCTTCCATGCTGCGCCCCTCACCTCCCCAGCCGTGGTCCTGCACCGAGGCCAGCTCCTGGGGCTCCGAGGTGAGTCCAGAGCACCTGCCTCCTGCCCTCACAAGGAGGCCCCCACCTGAGATGCCCCGTGGCTAAGGCTGGCCTTGCCCCTTGGCGGAGGGCGCTCTCCCGCGCACCGCCCTTGCCTGCTGGAAAGCTGGTCTCCTACTCAGGCTCAGGCCCTGCGGCCCTTCTCTCTCTCCAGCAAACAAAACCTCCCCCACGTCTGGGGAGGGAGCCCGCCCTGGGGGCGTCATCCACGTGTATGGTGATGACAGCAGTGACAAATCAGCCAGCAGCTTCATCCCCTACTGCTCCATGGCCCAGGCCCAGCTCTGCTTCCACGGGCACCGTGATGCCGTCAAATTCTTTGTGTCGGTGCCAGGTGAGGGGCTGGGCCCCATCTGTGCTGGGCTGCCGCGTGGCCTCCCTCCGCGAGCCTGCGTGGGGGGCACTGGCCGCCCGGCTGAGCTCCCTGTGTCCTGACAACAGGGAATGTGTTGGCCACTCTCAACGGCAGCGTGCTCGACAGCCCCTCCGAGAGCCCCGGGCCCGCCGCCCCTGCCTCAGACGCCGAGGGCCAGAAGCTGAAGAACGTTCTGGTGCTGAGCGGTGGGGAGGGCTACATCGACTTCCGCATCGGTGAGTTGGCGCTGCCCGGGGTCCCGGGATCCCCAGCAGGGCCATCCCATCACCGTGCCTCTTTGTCCAGGGGACGGAGAGGATGATGACACCGAGGAGAACACTGGGGACATGAGCCAGGTGAAGCCCCTGCTGTCCAAGGCAGAGCGCAGCCACATCATCGTGTGGCAGGTGTCCTACAGCCCCGAGTGAGGCTCCGGCCTCCCCCGCCCCGGCTGCCCGACGCCGACGTGTACATACAGCCCCACCCGCCTGCCCACTGCCCGCTCTGCAGGCAGCCCGGCGCCCGCCCCTTATAACCTCTCAACCTGCAGCTTTCACCTTAGGGCCGGGCCTCCGCAAAGGCGGGCAGCAACGCGGGTCTGGCTGGGAGGGAGGGACCCTCACCAGGAGGGGAAGAACCTCTCAGGACACGTGCCCCAGCAGCTTCTGGCTTGCCCCCGATCCCAAGTTCTCCCATCTGGGGGGCATTTTGGGGCCAGAGCAAGGCAGGAGGTAGGTCGGGCCGGGAGAAGGCCCTGCAGGTGGCTCCCAGCTCCACCCTGGGCCCCCCACTTCCCTCACTCCCAGGACCCCCCCAGGGCAGGTAGTAGGGACTTCAGCCCGCCAAGTCTTCCCAGCCGGAGCCCACTTGCCTTTGCCTGTTGCCTGAAGGGGTGGGCCTGACCCTAAGGGAGCCGGCCTGGCCACTGGCCTTCCCTGGGCCCCCTGCACCCACACCCTAATGCCTGCCCCAGGAATTGGCATGGAAGCACGTAGCCAGGCTGCCTAAGGCAGCTGCTTGAGAAGCCAGATGCCCTCTGCTGCTCACCCCGTTGTAGCCAGCTCTCCCCAGCTCTCCCTGGGCAGAAGACCCACCTGGTAGGAGCAGGCTCTGGAGTCCTCCCCCTCCCAGAATCCCCTTGGGTGTAATTTCTCAGGCTGCCAAGGCAGGCCCAGGCCTCAGGAAGAAGGGGAGGCCCCTGGTCTCTCCTGGGGTCAGTCCTAGGACACAGGCTCAGCCTCGGTGACAGGGGGACACGTGGTCCGGGGCCTGCCTCCTGCACAGTCTCCAAGGAACCCCGTTCCCAAGACACACTATGAAGTGCCTAGGGCTGGCAGCGTGGCCTGCTCCCCTGAGGGCAACCTGAAGATGAGCCTGCGAGGGCTCGCGGCAGAAGCTGCCTCCGGCTGGCTTTAAACATGGATGCCCGCCGGCTTTGAGGGGTGCTGCCCTGGACTGCCACCTCCCTGACCTGCCCAGGTCCAGGCCTTACTCCTGCTCCAGAGGCCCTGCTGCCCACCCACCTCCCACCAGAGAAGCACAGACCTTGGGCAGCCACCCCACGAGCCCAGCCGGCCACCATCACGTGCAGCTGCAGGCTTCTCCCCACCACCCTGCCACTCTCCACTGTGATGTACGTCCAGTCCCTTCTGTTCCCACGGGGCCGTGAAGTGACTCGGGGGCTAGCTGGGTGGGTGCAGCTGGGGGAAGGGGCTGGGTGGTGATTCTCCTCAGGCTTTGGCCCTGCAAGCGAACCCACGTATTTGCTCTGTATGTAATAAATGTCTTAATATCGTAGCCCTGTGTCCCTGGGCCCAGACCAGCGGGAGCGTTAAGGATTTGCTTCACTTTATTGTCTCAAGAAATGCTGGCCCACGCTGCGGGCCAGGACGGGCCGCAAACTGGAGGGGCCCGCGGGGCCGGGCGTCTACTCGTAGAGCCAGTGCCCGGCGCTGTCCTCCCAGCACAGCAGCTCGTCGCGGCGGAACCAGAGCGCGATTTCGCGGCGGGCGCTCTCCACCGAGTCGCTGCCGTGGATCACGTTCCTGCGGGAGAGCCGCATGAGCGCCGGCAGCCGCTGGGGCGTGGCAGGGGCTGGGAGCGCGCTCAGGCCGCCTTACTTGCCAACCTCGACGCAGAAGTCCCCGCGGATGGTGCCGGGCGCGGCGTCGGCCGGGTCGGTGGCCCCGATGAGCGCCCGCGAGGCGCGCACCACGTCCAGCCCCTGCCACACCTAAGCGCGGGCCGGCGGGACTCAGTGCACCGGCTTTCCGTCGGTCCCGCCCGCCCGCGGCCAGCACTCACCATGGCCACCACCGGTCCCGAGCCCATGTAGTCCACCAGCCGGCCATAGAAGGGGCGCTCGCGCAGCTCGGCGTAGTGCTCGCGCAGCAGCTCGTCCGAGGCCTGCGGCGGACGGGGGTGGGGACGGGCCGCGCGCGCCGGGGTCCCCGCCCGCCTGCCGCCGCCTGCGCCCCGCCGCCCCCGCCCCCCCCGCGCGCCCTCACCTGCACCAGCTTCAGCGCCACCAGCTTGAAGCCCTTGCGCTCAAAGCGCCGCACGATCTCGCCCACGAGCCGCCGCTGCACGCCGTCGGGTTTCACGGCCAGGAAGGTGCGCTCGTGCACGCCGGCGCAGGCTGCGGGGGCCCGCGGGGTCGGGGCGCGTCAGGCCCGGCCGCTCCCGCTCCCCCACCCCCACCCCGGCCCGCGCCGCTCACCCGCCGGGAAGAGGTGGGCGAGCACGGTCAGCAGCAGGCACAGCATGATGGCGATGGCGGCGGAGGCGGCGGCGGCGGGCGTGGCCTGCGTTTAAAGGGGCCGGGCGGCAGCTGCCCGGGTATCCCCATCCCTCGGGCACCGCCGGGCCGGGCGCCCCACACGGTCGGCTTCTCCTCCCCAGCCCTGCCCGCAACTTGCTGTGGCTGCCCAACCCGAAACTCAAAGAAAGCACAACCCAGGGCACTGGTTCTGCCTTTATTCGCGCGCAAACGGTTCCCGGCTGAGTCCGGCAGGGGCCGCACGTAGTGGGGGGAAGCGACCGGCGCGGGCGCTGGGGCTCCGCGCTGCCAGCCCCGCCTACCCCCGCTTCCCCCCAGCGGCCCTCTCGCACAAAGGCGCGAGGGGCAGGGTCTGGCTCCACGCTCCCGGGGGTGCTGTCCCAGCTGCAGCCCAAAGGCGTCTTCATTCACAAACCGGGGCCCAGGGCCTGACACCTGTCCCGCGGCCATCCAGTGCTGGCACTTAGACTGGCGTGGCCTTAGCCTTTTTCTTCGCCTCCTGTCTCACAGGGTAGTCCCAGGGATCCACTCGGGTCCGCTCCAGATTCAGCATGGGCTCCTCGGTGCTGGAGTCCCCCTTTTTCTGCCGCTCTGCTAGAATCATGGCCCGGAGGAGCGGCGGGTAGGGCACGCAGCGCGGAGCGTCCTCGGGCGGCGCGGGCGTGAACGCGGTGAAGGCCGCCTCCTCGTGCTTGGGCACCAGCCGCCAGTCGTGGTACATGACCTGCCCGATCTCCCGGGCCTCGCTCTCCGTCCGTCCTGGAAAGAAGGCCGGGGCTGAGCGCACATGCATTCGCGGGGCAGGCTGTGACCGGCAGCCGGGGGCCCCCGCCCAGTCCCCACCGCCTCACCTTTGAAGGTCAGCACGCCCCAGGCCTTCCCGTGCTCTAGGTTCTGCAAAGCAAGCGTACAGAGCATCGGCTCGGAGCGCGTGCTCGCCCCCTCCCCGAGGCCGGGGCGCCGGGAAACCCACGCGCACGCACCTGCGCCGTGTAGTCGGGCCGCACACGCGTCAGGCGCCAGTAGCACGGCTCGTCGTGCTGCCACAGCCAGGACTTGCGCGTGACCAGGCGGCCCAGGCCGAAGAGCGGCAGGCGGCTGAGCAGCTGCAGGAGGCTGCTCTCCCGGCGCACATCGGCCCAGGCGCGGACCGGCAGGCGGCGGCCCGAGTACGGCCGCGTCAGCGTCTCGTAGTCCAGGGCGTAGCGCTGCGAGTCGCGCGGTCGGTTCCGCTGCTCTCGTAGGGCCCGCACGCGACGGGCCAGCTCAGCGATGAGGCGCGGCCGCACCTTCTTCCGCGCCATGGTCTGAGCCCCGCTCGTCCGTGCACCGACCGGAAGCCGCGCCGCCGCCGCCGGAAGCGGCCAGTGTCCCGCCGAAAGGCGTCCGGGTGCAGCCGGAAGCCGAGTGGAGGCCGGGCCGGCGATGGCGCGGGAGGGCTCCGGGAGGGCGGGGTACTCGGGCCGGGCGGGGGCCCGGGGCGGGGGGCGGTGGCGGCGGCCCCCGACCTGGGAGGTCTCGGACTCGGACGGCGAGGGCCCCGCCGGCGCGGAGGCCGGCGCGACGGCCCGCGGGCCGGTGGAGGAAGGCAGGGCGGCGGCGGAGGAGCGCAGGGCGGCGGCCGAGGCGCTGCGGCCCGAGCAGGCCCTGCGGCGCGTGGCGGTGCGGGTGGACGCAGGTGCGGGGGGCGCCCCGGAATTGGGTCGGTTTCCCAGCCGGGCAGGCGCGTGGTCTGGAGCCGGCCGGGCCCAGGCCAGGGGTCCGCTCTCCGCAGCCGGGCACTGACGACAGCCGTGTCCCTGCGGCCCATTGCAGCCCTTCTGGAAGATGCTGGTGCCGACATCCTGCTGGAGGCCCTGCGCGCCCTGGGCTGTGAGTACCACGTCGAACCCCAGCGGCCGGCCCGGAGCCTCAGGTGGACCAGAGCGAAGCCGGACCCTTGTCCCCGCACTGTGAGTGTATTGGGGCTACAGAGTGCACCCCTGGCCTGTTTGCTTCTCGTAACTTCACGTAAGTCTGTGGGTTTTGTAGACCAGTAAACTAGAAGCAGGAACGCTGAGGGGGTACCAGTGAGTTGCAGGATTGACGTCAGTGGATCTAAACTGACCTTGGACTTCCCCCGGGATGGGACGTGGGTCATCTATAGAACAGTCCCCGTGGGGCTTGGGCTTGGCTGTGGCCACGAGCCTCAGAGCCACTGGGGTGCCCAAGGCAGGGCCCTGGGGCATGTGAGGGGGGTGGGTGGGCAGCAGTGTCTCTGGATGTCCCCACAGGTGCCTTCGGAGGTGTGGGCTGCAGATGAACAGGACCTCCTTCTGCTCCTGGAGCCCGAGGAGTTTCTACAGGGCATCCAACAGCTGACCCAGGTGCCGGGGAGTGGGGGGGGGGGCAGTAGTCCTCCACACATTACTAGGAGCTGGGCTCCTCAGCCTGGGAGAGCTGCTCTGCCAGTCCCCATTCCCTGCCCCAAGGAGAGGGGCCAGACGGGGTGTGTGCAGCAGTCTGGGGCTGTGGGTGAGACGGGGAAGCCAGGTGGGTTCTTGGCCGGGGAGCAGATGGGGGCTGCCGCTGGAGAGTGAAAGTCAGGTTAAGGAAGGTTCTCTGGAGAGCTGTGTGATAAGGCAAAGGCGTAAGGTTAGACCCTGTGTGGATCTTGGTGTTTGTGGTTTGGTGCTTCTCAAGGAAATGTTGCATGCTAGGCAAATGGTGGGCCAGGTTGCAGAGATAGAGAGAAATGGTGGCTGGGGGCTCAGTGCCGCTCTTCCAGGTGCCTGGGAGGTGTTGGGGGCTTTCAAAGGTCCCTGGGCCTTGTGGGAGGCACACAGCTGGTTTCCAACAGGAGCTGACTGGGCAAAGGAAACCAATGTTCTTCTCTCCCCACTGAGTCCCTCTCAGGCCGCCTTCTTTTCTGTCTGCAAACACAGTGGCTGGGTCACCAGTGGGCCCTGCCTGCTACAGCCCCAGAAATAGGTGTGTTAAACTTTGGTTTGCAGACTCGTGGCCCATCTTGCTCCGTGCCCTGGATCTGTCCTGAGAGCTCCACCAGCCCCCACCTGGCTGTCATCGGGCTGGATGCCTACCTGTGGTACCAGGCACTCTCATGCCCTTACTAGGCCTGGCTGGGATACGGGAGTTCAGGGGAAAGGTAGTGGTGGCCCGAGGCTTGCTGGGACACAACGAACTCCCTTTCTTGGGGGCTCAGGGGTAATGACGGGGTGTGGAGAGCCAGAGAGATGGCCCTCTCTGCTCAGGTCTCACCAGCCCAGCAGCCAGGAGATGCGACGGCCAGAGAGTCCAGCGGTGGACCATGCCACAGTGGCACTCAGCTGGCCCAAGGTGGAGGAGGTGAGGGCCCATCAGGTGGGGCGAGGTGCTCGCCCTTGGTCCTGGCACCTGGGCTGTTCTCCAAGGCCCCGCAATCCTGGTTTTGGTCCCGGAGCAGCACGTGGGGTTGGGCGCAGCCGGGTGTCCCCTGGGGGTGACCTTGACTGACCCACACTGTGGGCTCATCTCCTCAGGCCCTGGTACTCCTGCAGCTCTGGGCACATCTGGATGTACTGCTGGTGGCCTCCTGGCAGGAGCTGAGTCAGCATGTGTGCGCCTTCACCAAAGCCCTCGCTCAACGCCCCTTCAGGTGCATGACCCCCACCCTGACTGGTGGCTGTGGCTGGGGGTGGGGACAGGGACACCTGGAGGAGCAGGATCTCTCTGGTCTCTTTGGGAGCAGAGCGGGCCAAGGGCTTTGTGGGGCTGGGAGGATGGGATGCTCTGCAGACATGAGGCCTCTGGAAGCGTCCCTGCATTATTTCCCGTCTGCAGGCGGTACCAGGAGTCCCGTGCCTTTTCCTTCTGTGTGGCTGGGCGCTGGGCAGCCAGCGAGCGCATGGCGAGCGGTGGCAGAGGGCTGCAGGGCATCTGGTGGCGGCAGATCAGACAGTTCCACCGGGTCAGTCCGGCCGTGGCCGATGCCATTGTCACCGCCTTCCCCTCCCCCCGCCTTCTGCAGCAGGTGGGTCCCCTGGTACCCCCTCTGGTGTGGAGCCAGGTCCCCTAGAGCTGCCCTGCTTACCCCCATGCCTGCCCTAGGCATACACGAGCTGCAGCACGGAGCAGGAGCGCCTGGCCCTCCTGGCGGACCTCCCCGTGAAGATGGGCGAGGGCGTGCGGCCCCGCAGGGTGGGGCCTGACCTTTCCCGCCGCATCTGCCTCTTCCTGACCACCACCAACCCTGAGCTCCTGCTGGACCTGGGCTCCTGACCACACCTGGGGGACAGGACAGGGCCCTCTCACCTACCAGCAGGACGGGACATGGTCCACCCCATGCAAGGGCTGAACTGCCAACTACCTGGGGGGTGGGGGAACAGGGCGCTGCCCCTGGGGTGCATGGGAGGGCACGGGGTGGCCAGAACATTCTTGGGTAACTGGGATGAGCAGGAGAGGAGGTGGTGAGCTTCCCCTGCCCTGGGTCCTGGATACACCGACCGCGGAGCCGGGGCCCAGTTGGGGGGTCAGGAAGGGGAACACACACCAGTCATGGGGAGACTTGGGAGTGGCACCTTCTAAGAAACAATAAGACAAAGTCTCGAGGGAGGAAAGTGCACTGGGTTGTATCTCCTGGAGGGTGTTGTGATGCAGCCGGGCCCAAGGGGAGGAGAGCCGCGGGCCTCAGCTGGACTCCATCCTGCCACCACGGAGGCGTCACATAAAGTCTAAGTTTATTACGGTCGTTTCGGTCTGGGACGGGAGGAACAGCAGCTGATGACATGCAAAAAGCAAGTGAAGGAAACCACAAGGCCGCGGCAACCGCGCCGCCTCTAACCGCATCCTCGTGGGCGCTGACTCGCGGTCGGTCTGGAAGAGCCAGGGTGGCTGCTTCCTTACGGTGCAGGGAGCAGATGCTCTGGGGGCCTGGGGGCCTGTCCCGGCGAAGCCAGCCCTCCGCGTGAGTCATGCCCCTAGAGCCCGGTCCAAAGGGAGGGACGGAGAAGGCGGCCGCTTGGCCCCAGGAAGGCAGTTTTCATGGGAAACGAGTCAGGTCCGCCGGCAGCGCTTCCTCTGGCAGTGCCGGGTCTCGGGGCCACTGGCCGTGGCCTTGGGGGAGGGTGCAGGTGGCTTGCGGCGGCCGCAGCTCATGCTCAGGACCCAGCCCAGCTTGTGGTGCAGCAGCTGCTTGAGGCCAGGTGGCAGGGGCAGCCCCTCTAGTGTGTCCCCGGAGTCGGGCCGCAGCTGGCGCAGCCGGTAACAGCACAGGTACTGCAGGGAGGTGACGCTGGCGCACGAGCGGATCACCTTCATGCTGCTCTTGGCCGCCGTAGAGCACACCATCGGGTAGAACTTCCTGTTCTGCAGCTTGGTGGCCGCCACACCTGGGCGGGGAGCACAGCCTGAGCCCCAGGCTGAGCAGGGGGAGCGCCTGTTCCCGCCACCCCTCAGGCTACCCCCGCCACGCCTTGGGCTGCCCCACCCTCTGGGAACCCCGGGGCCTCAGGTTCCTGGGAGGACCGGCTTTCAGGAAGCCTGGGGCCGCGGTTCCACACCTTGTAGTTACGGGTCAAGGTCATGGCTGCCCTCACCTATGCACTTCCTGTTCTTAAAGAAGGTGAGCGTCCCGTGCCAGGTGTCCAGGTGCACGCCGATGATGGAGCCCTGGCCGAACCTCGAGGAGAAGCTCATCTTGTCGCCCTTGTGATGGAGAAGCCCTGGGGGACAGCGGGATGGGGTAAGCCCTGCTGCCTCAGGGTCGTGGCCCCCCCCCCGCCCTGCCTGCCCTTGGGGCTCCGCGCACCCGTGTAGGAGAGACCCCAGCTGTCCTCGTCTCTCCCGAGCAGACTGCAGAACGTGTGGTGGTACTTGTCCAGGTCCACATCTGACGTCCCAATGCCCACCATCTGGGAAGAACGGGGCAGGCAGCGTCTGGGCACCTGGGGTCACACCTGCCCCCCCCGACCAGCCTGCTGGCCACTGACCATATCGGTGCCGTAGACCGGCGAGGTCATCTTGATCTCCCAGAAGTGCTGGCCCTCCCCCAGCTCCTTGGTGCCCCTGATGGCTGCCGTGCCGCAGCTGTACTCCATGTGGAAGTTGACCTTTCGGTTGTCGCAGCTCAGCAGGGTGGCCGAGGATTTATTCAGGTCATCCCACACCCAGTCAAAATCTGCAGGAGCCAGGGCCGGAGGAGGCTGGGGCTGGAGGGCCTGCGCGGCCGGGCTCACCCCTCCCCCGGCCCCGGCCCCCCCCCCCCCGGTCCTCACGCTCGTCCTCTTCCCCACAGCGGCAGTCCTTGTCCTTGCTGCGGCGCGCCGAGTGCAGGCTGCTGCAGAAGGGGGCCTCACTCTGGCCGTCACAGTCACAGAAGGACTCCCCGGTCACAGGCACAGCGCTAGGGATGGGCGGCGGCAGGGCAGAGGACTCGGGGTCGGAGTCGGAGTCACTGTGCTGGGAGAGAAGAACTGGCTGCTCCCGCCCGGCGCGCCCTCCGCCCTCCATCCTAAGATCCACCACGGGCGGGGGGTCAACCACACCCCTGCCCCAAACAAGCACCTGCAGATTTGGCTTCAAAGGGCTTCCCTGGGTCTCCTGAGCAGTCAGCCCCCACCCTTGCCCAGAGCCACGGCCGGTGACCCTGGACACCACCTCTGGCCTCCTGGGAATGAACTGAAGGACTCCACCCCACCTCCACACATCCCTGGGGTTACTGGGCGCCCTGCTGACAACCAGCCAGGTGGGGCTGCCAGATCCCCAGTTTCTCCTCTGGGCCACCTGAAGCAAAGGAGCCCCAGGACAAAGTCTGCTGCTGACCTAACGAAGGCAGCCTGGCTCTCCCCCACAGGGAGCATGTGGGCTCCTGCGGGGGCGGGGGGAGGGGGGCCTCACTGTGGCAGAGCCCCTGCGCCTGTCCTGGGCTATGGCCCTCTGCTCATCCATGGAATGGGTGGCTCTTAACCCACAGCACAGGGCCCTGGAGCCCTATGCTCCCATGTCCATGCGTGAAGTTTCTGCCACAAGACGTGGAGAGGGGCCTAATCCTCAAGGCTCGGGGGCCTGACCATGGCCCAGAGCCAGATCCTTCCTGAATACCAGCCAGGGCTGCTGATGCTACAGATGTTCTCTGTGCACGGAGCTGTTCCTCTTCTGACAGGCCCCTCTGGACACAGACCCTGGGCCAACCTAGAAGGGGCTGGGGTCTCACTGACCAATCCCAGAGTGCAGGCAGGCTCTAGGTGTCTCTCTGGCAGCCCAGCAGGCTGGGGTCCTGGTCAGGCTCCACCCTCCACCCCCTGCTCTCCTGAAATGCCATCTGCACAGCAAGCCAGGTACCCCTGCTCAGACCCGGGGCAGGGCCTGGTCCACCTCAGCATTGTGCTGCCCTGAGTGTAAGGCCCACACCCCCTATCAGGGCCTGCCCCCCCCCAACTCCAGTTGGGTCCAGTTGTCTTGTCTTTGCCTCTAGAGAAGAGGCCTTTACAGCCCCTCCCTCCTGTCCTGTGCTCCTATTCCGATCTGCTTTCTCCCACTAGAACAGAGGCTGAAAAAACCTGCTCCTTGTGTGTCTCCTGTCACACCCAGGGCTATGGAACAGCCACACAAGCTACGCAGCGGAAATTGCGCTAAGGAGGTCAGAAACCTCAGAGACATGCCAACAGGAGACGGGAGGAAGGCTCAAAGCACCCCACCTGCATGGAATGCTGATCCCCCAAAAGCCAAGGCAGACCCACTGCTAGTGAGAGGCGACCCCCTTCCCACTGTCAAGTGCCAGGGTCACAGACCTGAGCACCGGGGGTCAATGTGGCCAACCCCCTGCGCAGCAGCCCACCCCCAACCACAGAACAAGCATCAGAGCCAAAGGGAAGGGAGGTGTGTGCTCAGCCTCCAGACGTGCTCAGGGTGACACGCCCACCCATAGCCAAGGACTCCAGGCCCATCAGGTGACAGACAAGCTTCAAATGTGTGTCACATGCTATGCCCTGGTCCCTCAACACCTCCTGCATCTTATAACGATGAGCTGGCCAGGCAGAGAGAGGCGGGAGAACAGATTGCTCAGGTCACGTGGTCAGGGGGAGCTGGAGGCGGGACAGGAATGCATGCCGAGGCCTCTTGCTGGCCTGGGCAGGGAGTCTGTGGAGGCCCTAGGAAGGGGCACAAGACACTACCAACGCCTCCCATTCCCGCCCCCGCCTCCCCCCAGTCTCACAGTTCCACAGGGCTCAGCCACCCTCACTCTAAAGACACCTAGCTGGGCCAGGGCAATAACACGGGGTGGCTGTGACGTGGCAGAGCCCAGTCACCCAGGGATCACCCCTGCAAGAAACAGCTGGGGTGACTCAGAGCAGAACTGAACCCCTACCCTGGTCTGAGAGCCCTGAGAAGCCATCCACAGTGCCTACCCCCAGCAAATGGGACACAGGCCACGCAGCCCTGCTGCCCCGTCCGCCATGGCAGGGGTTGGGACAGCGAGGCACTCAGGGCCAGTAGGTAACCTGCACTGCACATGGACAACCCAGCCGCTCCTCTGACTGCTCCTGGGCTCCCCAGCCTTCCAGAGCTCTGCAGCTGCCGAGTGTGGGAAGGCGCAGGCATTTTGGGCTCTAAAAATTGTAAGTTCTCTTTCTACATACATAGACACAAACATCAAGCGTATGACTGTACGAGTGGAGAAAACATCCAGGAACACATACGTCAAACTACTTTTGGACACTGGATGGATAAATGGAATAGAGTTTTTGTTGAACTCACCAAAAACACAACTGCTGTGTCCCAAAGACAAGAGAATAGAGAAGGTGGGATCTGCCCTGGGGTCCTGTCACCCCAGGACCACGTGGGTCCTTAACCCGGGGAAAGGAGGGCCCACCTGGCCCGTCCTCGGCCCTTGGGGGCATCTTTATCTTTCAGTCCTGGCTCAGGCACTGCCCACCCTGGGCGCCTCTACCCCTTAGGCCAGCCACGCCCACTTCCCCCACTAGGACCTACCTGCCCATCAGAGTCATAGCCCCAGTTAGTGGTCCCTGCCAGAGCCACAGCCCTGGCATCCGCGTCTCGGTGGGCCGCACTCAGGACAAAATGCCAAGCTCTGCTGCTGCGAGGGCGCCGGGCCATGATGGACAGGATCTGGAAGAAAACCCAGGTTCTGAGCAGAGAAGACAGGAGACAGCAACTCCTGTGCTCCAACCCAGGCCCGCTGTGCCAGCCCCATCCAAAGGTGGGGGCTCTTGTGAGCCATGCAATGCTGAGCAAGGGCACTGGAACTCTTCTCGACCTCAGACCTCCCTCCAGTATACAAGCACCTTGATGAACGCAAGACAGAGAGTGTAGAACACCGTCCAGATACCCATGACTCTCCAGTGCGTACCTCAGCCCCTGTCGGAGCTCAGCCTGATGAACCCAGCTGTCCCTCAGGCATCTCAAACCTTGTCTGGCTCCTCCTCTGTTGTCCAGTGTGACAAATGGCATCTCCAACCTCCCAGTTCCTCATGCCAGACCCATGGCAGTCACCCTGGACACCCCTTTCCTCCCTCGGGCACTGGCCTAACGGCCCGACACACCCAGCACCACCGCCAAACCATGTCCTGAACCCCTCTCTCCATCCCCGCCGCCACCGCGACTTCCAGCCACAACACACCTTCTCTCTGGCTCTATCCGCTTCACTCATTCACTCAGTCAAAAAGATGAGTTTTTGGAGACACAAATCTTAAAAATTCAAGCAAGTTTCAACCAATCTTGAAACTCCTCGGCCTTGCATTACTAAAACAACATGCAACATCCCGCAAAACCTATTAGGTTTTTTTGTGCGTCTCCACGCCGCAAGGGCCTGGGTCCAGGTGCGAGCCCTTTCCTGCCCTTTGCCCAGAATGCCTTTCCTTTCCTGCATTCTCCCAGTAACACGCCGCCTTCTAGGGCTGTCTCCTGGACCCAGACTCGGCCCCGGGAGGCCGGGGGCTGCCCCGCTGTCCGGACGCCCGCCGCGCACGAGTGCTTCCCGAGGCGCCGCCCCCGCCCGCCCGGCGCAGGTGGCGGCCCCGCAGCAGCGCAGGGCAGGCGGCGCGCTCCGGGACCCGGCCCGCGCGGATCTCCGCCTCCGCGCTGTGGCGGGGGTTGCGGCGGGCCCGCCCGCCGAGGCCCGGGGTCCCCCCAGCACCACCGCCCGCAGGAACAAAGGCGCGCCGGAGATCCCCACCACCAGCGGTCCCGCCAGGCCAGCGGGCGCGGCGGCCATGCGCGGCGGCGCCGAGGGGACCCCGGGGGCCGCCACTCACCTGCCACAGCTCAGTCGCCGCCGCCGCCGCCGCGCTCCGCCGGGCGGCCGTGACCTACTTTCGGCTCCCGAGCGAGACGTAAACAATCCCCGCCCCGCAGCCCGCCCCCCGCGCCGCATTGGCCTCGCGGCCGCTGGCGGGCTCTCCCGGGCGCTGCCGGGTGCTGGCAGCTCGGGACTGCGGACAGGGGGCGGGCCGCGCGGCACATGCCTACTACCGAAAGGTTGTCAGACCTGTCAATCCTGATTCCACATCCCCATTGGTCAGCTCTCAAGCCGTCGGAGAGCGGGCCCGTGTGCCCATTGGATGCGGGGCGAGGCAGGGACTGACACGGAAGTGAGCCCATTTCCGGTTCATCGTCGGCACCGGAAATGCGTGCACCTTACGTGAGATGTGATTGGCTGAGTGGAGAGCCGGTGGGCCTATCAGAACGGCCAGGGGGAGAGCGCTGCGCGGGGCGAGGGGTTGGGGCAGAGGACGGAGGCTGTGCTGCGCCGCCGGCGGAATGGAGGTGGCGGTGGGTGAGTCCGCTGGGCCGGCCGGAGCGGGAGGGGCCGGTCCGCAGCTGCTGGTCGCGGTCCCCGGTGTTCAGGGGAGCTGTCGTGGGCGCCCATAGGGCGCACGCAGGGTGCTTGGAGGGGGCCAGCCGCGTCTTGCTGCGCCCGGGGGCCTTGGTTCGGTGGCCTGGTGGCGGCCGAGCTGTGGTTGGAGCGGGGGTCCCAGGAAGGGGAGCCAGAGCGCCACGTATTGTTGATTCTTCGTGGAAGTGTTGTTCCAGCATGGTGCGCGCGGGTGCAAGCGGGTGTGGCGTGCTGCTCCGGGGCTGCTGCCGGCCTCGGTGACCAGGACCTGCCGGGAGCCAGGCCCCGTGCCCCTCTCAGCTCCTCCCCGCGAGGCGTTGGAGGCGGGGGCCTTTGCACCTCCCTTTGAGAGGAGGGTCTGGATGAGGGCCAGGGCGTCCTTTGTGGAGCCCCCCCAAGGACCGGGGCTTGCGGGGAGGGTTGTGGGGAGAGAAGCTTGTTGGAGGTTGGGCAGGAGTGCGGACGGTGAGGTCAGAGGGTACTGAGGCAAGAACGTTAGGGTCTTGCAGAGGGACTGAGGGTTGTGTGGGTGCAGATGGCAACCCCTGGGAGAGGCAGGAGTTGGGATGGTAGTTCTTCAGTGACATGTTAGGCTTATTGGAAGGAAGAGTCGGGGCAGAATGGCCCCTGGCCAACAGCCACAGTTGTTGGGCCCGGGGCTGAACGACCATCCCGTGGCCGCCCTTGTGTGCTTGGGGTTCAAGGCATGGTCTGAGCCAGAGAGGTGGGTATGCGCCCATGCGCCCCTAGAGCTGTAAGCGTCTCTCCTGAGAACTGGAAGCCAGGGCTGCCTTGAGTGCTTCTGACCCCAGGAGAGCAGTTGGGCACCCAGGGATCAGACCTAGATCCTAGGAATCGGGGTGGGGACCGCCCCAGCACAGATGCACCTCACGCCTGTCATGACGGCCCTGTTTCCCCCTGGAATCAGCTGGGAGCCTGCAGCCCCTCTCAGTTCCTATTGCCCAGGTGTGTGTGTGTGAGCTCACGGGTGCGTGCACACGTGCTCCCAGCAGAGAGGGGCGATTTGAGATAGCGCCTTCAGGGAAGCCACGGGTCTGGTCTGGGGCCGGCCCTCTGGAAGACCGCCCAACTGAGGGTGTTTGCTTCCATCAGGGCAAAGGGGCAGGTCTCAGAATTTGGGACGTGGGAGGTGCTTGTGACCCTTCTGACTGAGCCTCCAAAAGCATCTGGTGCGAAGGGGATTCTCTGCCCTCCTGCCCTCTTCTTCTGACCAGAGCCTGGAAACCTGGCAGGTGTCCGGCACATCATCCTTGTCCTCTCAGGAAAGGGGGGGGTCGGGAAAAGCACCATCTCCACGGAGCTGGCCTTGGCCCTACGCCATGCAGGCAAGAAGGTGAGCACCCCCAGCCTTGCCCCTGCACGGACCGACCCTCTGCTCCTGCCCCTCGTGGACGTTCTGCCTCCTTGCAGGTGGGGATCCTCGACGTGGACCTGTGTGGCCCCAGCATCCCCCGCATGCTTCGGGCACAGGGCAGGGCCGTGCACCAGTGTGACAGTGGCTGGGTCCCCGTCTTTGTGGACCAGGAGCAGAGCATCTCCCTCATGTCCGTGGGCTTCCTGCTGGAGAGCCCGGATGAGGCTGTGGTGTGGAGGGGCCCTAAGAAGAACGGTAACGATGGGTGGGGGACGGCACGGTCAGCCCTCTCGCGCCTCCCAGCTGCCGCCGCAGTGCTCAATAAAAAGTCAATTAGAAAGTCCCATGGGAGCTGCAGGCCCTCCTCCCCAGGGTTCTTGGGTAAAGCTGGAGACCCCAACAGCCAGCTATTTCCAAAACAGTCCTGCTGCTCACCTGAGCGGTCGGTCAGGCCTGCGTGGGAGTTGAGAGCAGGAGGAACCCCATCCATGTCCCTGAGCGGGAAGGGTTCTGGTCAGACCTGAGGCCACCCAGGGGGTGGGGTGCTGAGCCTGGGCGCTGGGCCCTCTGCACCCACAGGCCCCACCAAGCCCTGTAATTGGCGGTGGGAGGGGCAGGCGGCAGGCTCCACGCAGGGGCTGTGTGCGGGACATGCTGACGCGGCCTGCTGCTGCAGGTCACCGGCTCTCCTGCTGCCGAAGCTGGAGGTGAGCCTGAGTCCAAGCACGGACACCCCAGGAGGGTCACAGCTCCAGGCTCAGGCCTGAGCGGAAGTCTCAGGGGGCAAGGGTGGCCCCACAGCCGGGAAGAGAGGGGTGCTTGTGGGGGCCTGCGCTGTTGGGCGGACCCGGGACGGGCAGAGGCCCCTCTGCTGGAGGCGAGGGGCTCGGTGAGACCCCAGTGAGACCCCAGTGAGCCCCCTGGGTCCTTGCAGCGCTGATAAAGCAGTTCGTGTCTGACGTGGCCTGGGGACAGCTGGACTACCTGGTTGTGGACACCCCACCAGGGACCTCTGACGAGCATATGGCCGCCGTGGAGGCGCTGCGCCCCTACAGCCCGCTGGGGGCCCTCGTGGTCACCACGCCCCAGGTACCGCAGGAGCACCTTTACGTTGCCCGGCTGTCCTTAACCTCACCTGGGACCCGGCACTGCTCCCGGCTCTTTACGCCCTCAGTGGTGCGTATTGAAGTTACCCACTGACCCGCTGTCCTCTGTTCCCTGGTCTCAGGCAGTGTCCGTGGGGGACGTGAGGCGGGAGCTGACCTTCTGTAGGAAGACAGGGCTGCAGGTGGTTGGGGTCGTGGAGAACATGAGTGGTTTCGTCTGCCCACACTGCGCAGTGAGTCCTGGGGACTTGGCGGGTGGTCACCAGCCCTTGCGGGACGTGGGGCAGAAACTCAGGCGTGCTGTGGAGGGCGAGGACACCCCTGGACCTGCCCCTGGAGTGTGTGAGAGGTTCCTTACGGGGGGCCGCACGTCTGTGTTCTAGGAGTGCACCAACGTCTTCTCCCGGGGAGGCGGGGAGGCGCTGGCCAGACTCGCCGGAGTCCCCTTCCTGGGTGAGTGCAGCAGAGCCACCGCTCGGCCTCTGCTCTGGGGCTCTGAGTTCCCCGCGCCCAGTGGGCATGAAAGATGGCAGCGGGCAGCCGGGCTTGAGTGGGCGCCCGCGGGAGCCAGAGGCTGGCCTGGGAGCCCTGTGCGGGGTGGGGCTGGGAAGCTGGCCCCTCGCCCTCCGCCGCCCTCACAGCCCCTCTGCTGCTGTCTCCCTTCGCAGGCTCTGTGCCTCTGGATCCTGAGCTCACGAGGAGCCTGGAGGAAGGCCGAGACTTCATCAGGGACTTCCCTAAGAGTCCTGCCTTCCCCGCGCTCTCCTCCATAGCCCAGAAGGTTCTGAGCGGGGCGCCTGCTCGGCTCTCCTAACCAAGGCGGCCCCCTCTCGCGTCTCCTGGCCCCGTGCACACAGGCCTGAACAGGGGCTGTGGCCGTGCAGGCGTCTCCCTGCCCCTGGAGCCACGCCAAGAGTGGGTGGTTCTGCCCAGTGGGCCGGTGGCAGTCCCAGGGGAAGGTGTGGCCTCCCGGCGGCTGAACTCTCAGGTGACGGCACGTCTGCTCTTGTCACGGTGCTCACGTGCCCCCGACCCACGGCCGGGCTGCACCTGGCAGCCCAGGCTCCACGTGGGGCACGAAGCCTGCGCGTCTGGAAAATCCCTGGGGCGTCTGCCGTCCTTAGGGCCGCCCTGAGCAAAGCTGGTGACAGCGGGGAGCATCTTGTGAAGTGTCAGACTTAACATTAGAAGAACCCACAATTAAACGTCCCCCTGCTGCAGCTACAGGTCTGATGCTTTCAGAGTGTGGCGCCCTGGTCCCGCCTGCGCCTTAGCATGCTGGTGCGCTCCACGGCAGCCAGCCCTGCCCCCTGATGCCCGGCCCGCAGGCCCCTGCAGACGTCTGGGTCAGGTTTGGGGACAGACTGGAGAAATGCATGTTCTTGGGGGAGGCTCAGCCTGGCGCAGGTCACTGCCCATGTCCGATCGCCCGCCACACCCTCCACGCCACGGAGCCGGGGCAGAGCTGGGAGTGAGGTGCAGGTGCCCCAGGGAGACCAGGAGGGAAAGTGGGACAGGGCACTGCACAGCGCTCTTTCCAAGGGAAGAGGTTGGGGTGTCGGCAGAGGAGACAGGGTGGCCCCCAGGGCAGGGGTGATGGGTCCAGGTGTGCCGTGAACAAGAGGGCAGGGGCAGGGCTGCTGGGGTGGGAGGGGGGTGTGGGCCGGGGATTGAGAACCCACATCCACACTGGCCCCGAGCAGTGGCCGCCCTGGCTCTGCCCAGCTTCCCAGGACCAGGGCGTCCGAGGACGCTGCCAGAGAGGACAGCTGAGGTGCTGGGGCTCTGGACAACGGCAGGGGGTGCCGCTGCCCATCAGGTGCAGGTGGGCACCCCAGGAGGGACGTGGGCTGGGAGCACGGGCCCAGCTTTCCTTACCCCCAAAGCTACACTGCTGTGACATGCGCGTGTCAGATGGCTTTTAATGAGGGACAGCTGGGGGGGCCGGGGCTTGTGTGGTGGCAGTGCCCACGCCAGCAGGACCCCGCGGCTGTACCGTGTCCCCCCACCAGGGGGACGCCGTTGTGACCCCGGGGCGGCTTCGGGCCAGGCCGCACCTCGGTCAGCAGTGAGCAAAGTGGGCCTCGGCGACGTCACGCAGGTCAAGGCCCGAGACGCCCGGGGGGCTGGCGCAGGTGATGTTGTTGTAGGCGTACGCGGGCGGCTGGCCGTCGTCCCCCTCCGGCGCGGCCTGCATGAAGCGCGGCACGACGCTGGGCTGCTGCAGGGCCAGTGCCCTCAGGGCCCGCAGGGGGCAGCCGCAGTGCCAGGGGTTGCCCTCGAGCCACAGACGCTCCAGGCGGGGGGCCTGCGGCGTGAAGGTCCGCAGGGAGTTGTTCCTGAGACTCAGGTAGCGCAGCTGGGGCAGGTCGGCCTCGGGCAGGGCCTCCAGGCGGTTGTGCGAGACGTCCAACCAGAAGACGCGCCGCAGGGGCCGCAGGGAGTCTGCCGACAGCGCCGCCAGCCGGTTGCCGGAGAGGAGCAGGTACTCCAGCTTGTTGAGGCCCTGGAAGACCTGGCCGGGCAGGTGCGTGAGCTGGTTGGCCGTGAGGTCCAGCTCCAGCAGCTCCGCCAGCCCCCCCAGGCCCTGCTCTTCCACAGCCACGATGCCGTTGTCCTTGAGGAAGAGGCGGCGCAGCCCCGAGAGGCCCGTGAAGGCGTGCGGCTGGATGCGGCCCAGGCAGCTGCGCTCCAGGTGCAGGCTGTGCAGCCGGCCCAGGCCGTGGAACACCTGCTCCGGGAGCGTCCGCAGGCAGTTCCCAGAGAGGTTCATGACTGCCACACTGAGGAGGCCGAGGAAGGCACCTGCCTCCATCTCCCGGATCTGGTTGTCGTTGAGCGTGAGCACCTCCAGCTGGCCCAGGCCTTCGAAGGCCTTGTCGGGCAGCTGCCGGATGCGGTTGTGTCCGAGCTGCAGCTCCTCCAAGAAGTGCAGGTCTTTGAAGGTGCGCGGCCGCAGACCGGCGATGGCGTTGTGCGAGAGGCGCAGGACGTGCAGGCCTAGCAGGCCGGGGAAGGTATCCTCCAGGAGGCCGCCCACGCGGTTGTGCGACAGGTCCAGCCAGCGCAGCGCCTTCATGCCCAGGAAGGCGCCAGGGGCCACGGCGGTGATGAGGTTGTGGTCCAGGTAGAGCTTCTGGAGCTTGGGCAGCTTGACGAACACGTTGGCCTTGACGCTCCGCAGGGCGTTCCTGCTTAGGTCCAGCTCGCGGAGCTCGGCCAGGCCGCAGAAGAGCGGGGGCTGCAGGTAGGCCAGCTTGTTGCCCGCCAGCACCAGCTCGCGCAAGTTGGCCAGGCCTTGGAAGGCGGCGTCGGGGAGCACGGCCAGGCTGTTCCAGCCGAGGTTGAGGTCCCAGAGGCCGGCCAGACCCTGGAAGAGGCCCTCGTCCACCCGGCCGAGTAGGTTGTTGCTGAGGCCGAGGGAGGCCAGGCCCGGCGTGTGCAGGAAGGTGCGGGCCGCTAGGCCCCGCAGCTGGTTCCGCTCCAGGTGCAGGTGCCGGAGCTGCTGCAGGCCGAGTAGCGCCTGCGGCTCCAGGCTGGCCAGCCCGCTGCCCTGCAGGTTGAGGAAGGCGAGGCCGGAGAGGTTGTGGAAGGCGGCCGTGGGGACGGAGGACAGGTTGTTGCCGTCCAGCCACAGGGCCCTGGCACCGTCCGGAATGCCGTCGGGCAGCCGCGTGAGGTTCCGGGAGCTGCAGAAGACGCTGAGCTCGTCCACGTAGTCGTCGTGGCCGCAGGTGCAGACGGCCGGGCACTGCAGGCTCTCGGAGGCCCCCGGGGCCCCGGGCTCCTCTCCCTCCAGGCCGCAGGGGCCCAGCGCTGCCCAGCAGACCAGCAGCACGGTCAGGGCCGGGCCTCCTGCAGGGAGAGGGGCCAGAGGGCATGAGCCCCGGGGCGAGGGGACAGCCCGCACAGGCGTGGAACGCGTGGGGCTCGCCCCGGGCCGCAGCACGTGACCGGAAGAGGCGGTGCCGCTGAGGGCCCGGAGGAAGGGGGGAGCTCAGAGCTGCGCTCTCTCCCCGCCGGAGTCGGAAGCAGAGCTGGGCAGGACAATCGGGACGTCGTCCGTCTCAGCATCGACTGCCCTTTCCACCCTGCAGGCCAGGCCCGCCGGGGTCGTGATGTCTGGTCTGGAGAGAACTGAGGGTAGGGGCGCCTGGCCATTCGGCCGTGTGGCCGTCTGCGTCCCTAGCGTGGACACTGGAGTGGGTCCCTGCCGCCAGGTGGGCCTGGGGAAGACCTGAGTAGGTATGTGCTCCCTGCCCTTGAGGGCTGGCCAGTGAGCGGGTGCACACCACCCCAGTTAGGCTCCCAGACTGGGGGGCCCTCACCCACGTGCTCCCTGGTGTGTGGGTCCCACGTCCAGGAACGTAGCCTGGCTCTTGGGCAGGGAGAGGAGCAGGACGCCTGCCTGAGGGCAGACAGGGATTCCACACCCTCAACTCACCAGGGGTCAGGGGTGTTTCGGGACAAAGGGCACTGGGCCCCACACCAACACCCCAAAACCTGCGTCACGCCCTGGGCTGCCCACCGAATTGGGGCCCGTCCCTGCCCTCGGAGGGCTTGGGGTGTCCGGGTGAGGCCAGAGACAGCGCTAGAGGATGCGCCCCCCCCCACACCGCCCGGATGGGGCTGGGCCCCGAGGGGGATGGGGTGACAGCGTTCTGGCCCATGAGGGGCTGAGGGAAGCAGCCCAGCCCAGGGAAGGGTCTCCGGAGTGGGGTGTGAGGAGACTTGCACTCTTGCCGGGCGCCCCGACCTGGGCCCTGGGACCAGACAGGAAGTGGGCAGAGGGAGTGGAGGAGCCCGAGGGCGCATCCCTCGGCCGGCAGCAGCAACACCCGGCTGTTGGCTCACTCCGAACTGAGCCCTCCCTGGGGCTGCCCCTGGCCTCATGGGCTCAGGGGCACAGGGTTAGCTGCCCCCAGAGTGAGGGGCTGGGGCCCTGGGGGCACCTCACCTCTAATCGGGGCCATCCCGCGTGCAGAAAGGCCACAGGCGGGCCGCGAGCTGAGTGCGTCTGCTGGGGCCGGCTGCTCGTGCCCTCTGATTCCCCCACTGCTGGGGCAGCCAGCACCCTGTCGCTGGCCAGCCCAGCCCAGCCCCACTGGCCCGGATTCCATTAACCCTCTCGTGCCCGGCACCCAGCATCAGCCCCAAATGCCCAGGATGCAGACGGCGCAGGGGAGAGGCTGGGGGGCCGTGTTCACCCCAAAGCCACCTTCAGGTTTGGCTGGCCCCCGGCCCCTGGGTGGGGGCCCTTCCGACAGCTGTGGGGGATCGCCCGCTCAGCAGACGGCCATGTGGGAGTTAAGTGGGAGATGGGACTGGCACGCTGACCACCCCCCTCCTTCCCCCTGCCCATTTCCTAACAACCTGGGTGGGGTCCTCATTAGGACTCCGTGGGGCCCCGCCCAGCCTTGGCTTCTGGGACCTCAGGATCAGCTGGTGTCTGACCACTCCTCCTCCCCCCAATCTCTTCTAGGAACACCCGGCAGGGCCCCCGGCCCCCTCGTGTTTGCTTTCCCTAGCACTGCCCTCCCAGAAAGAGTGGAGGGAGGCCTGGCCTTGGGGGCCAGGTCTTGTGGCCACAGGACCAGCCTCCACCTGCTCTGGGACCCAGGCTGTCCTCCAGAGCTCCTGGGGGGCCATGACCAGCCCGTTCTGCACAGGACGACCACCCAGTGCCTGGCCTGAGGTCAGCCCCAGGTCAGGCGGGGAAGAAGGTTGACAGCCAGCATGGCCCCTGGCTGCTGGAGCAAAGGGATCCCAGCCGCACCCTCGTCCACCCGCCCTGGGCGCGGCTGGCACAGCCAG